GGTTGGCAGACAATGGTCCTATAAGTTTATGTGAATGATCAGAATTCCCAGGTGTATAGTAGAGTTGACAAGAGGAAGGTTGTGGTCACTGCTTGGTCACAGCCAGCAAAACACAAACAAACAATGAAACAGGGGACTTGACAAAACAAGCCTGCGTAAGGAAAGGGTAAATGGTAGCAGGGCCAAGCAGCAGAGTGCACTCTCCGGTTTGCCACGTTCTGCAGCCCCCCACTCCCTTGAGACTTAACCTTGGCTGCACTCACTCACCCCACCTGCTGGCTTAACCCCTGTAACCAAAAGGATTAAACCTATCAATTGCTTCTACCCAAAAAGATCAAGTTCTGTAACATGAAGCGAAAATACCCATCAAGCTTGCACCCCATGGAGGAAGTCCCAACTTCAGTGCCCAGGAGACCCAGCCTCTGAGCTGCCAGGGAAGGGCTGCCTGGACCCCCAAGGACAGAAGGGTAAAGAAGTACGGAAATAAAAAAGGAAGATAACAAGGAAAAACGTCCATGCTCTAGAAGTGAATGATGCCTTTCTGAAACGAAAATGTGAGTCAGGATGTCATTTAAATTGAGAATTAGTCACATCTTATAAAGCGCAGTCCTTAAAATAATAAAACAAACGCAAATCAATGAGCCAAACAGAAGTTCTCATTACAGTTTAAACTTTACATTGATCTGACTTTCCACTACGTCATAGAGCTGTAAGGCTTCATAACTTACATTGTTCTTAAAGGATGCTCTCATTACACTGTCATTCAAGGCTCACAGCAGCCGATTACAAAACTGAAGACTCCAAAGCTTTGCAGCAAGCCCAAGGTGACTTAGCTAGTTAAGGGACAGGGATGGGACCCAAAGGTCTCCCACCCAAGTCCACTGCTCTCTCTACCAAAAAGCTTCCGAAAACAGCACAGGTGGGAAGTTTCTATACTACCTGCTCAACATCTATTACAAAAATGCTCTTTGCTCATTTTTCACGCGATCAATGTAGAAAATCTTTGAATCTGTAGGACCTTGGAGGAGCTCTGGTAGCATAGTCCCTAAGGCACTTGACTGCTAACCAGAAGGCTGGCAATTCAAACCCACCAGCCACTCCTCGGAAGGAAGGTTGAGCAATCTACTTCCACAGTAATACCGCCTTGGAAACCCAAGAAGGGGTCATTATGAGTTGGATCTGACCCAATGGCACATAACAACATAGGATCTTGGGGTTTGTGCTTAGTGCATTTTTCTCTATAAACAAAAGACTGGTCAAACTACTAACTGAACTCATTCCAGCTCAGTGGACTAGAGAGGCTCCGGTCTGCAGTGCACTCAAGCATCTACACGGCGCAGTCTTCCATTTACCTGATAACACAGCTCGGCGAGCTGCGGAGACTCCTTCACAGCCAGCGGGCCAGTTCTCCCCTTGGTTCCTTTCTCCAAGATGTTTAAGATGGCATGAAGGCATGTCCGAGGGCAACCCAGCACTCCTGCACGTCATCCAAAGGAAACTCAACTTATTTTGAACAATGTCTGCACTGAAAACCTTAAATCACCTTTACAAAAGTTAAATTCTATAAACATACGATCTCCCTAAACAACTTTTCACATATTGATAAAGAAAACCGATGAACACTAATTGCGTGAGGTCCGTTTCGTCCTGTCTCGATCACAGTCCTACAGACTGACCCTCCCAGTACCTTTCTGTGTTATTTCCTCCCTTCAGTAAATGATCCTCATGAGCCCAGAATTCAAAACAGGATCATTTAAATACACACATAAATGAGTATTTGTAAGCATCTGTGTGTCTTACAAGGAGTTCTGGTGGCAAAGTGCCTAAGGCACTCAACTGCTAACCAGAGGTTGGTGGTTCAAACCCACCAGCCATTCCACAGAAGGAAGACTGGGCAGTCTACTTATGTAAAGATTTACTACCTCAGAAACCCAAAGGGGGTCGCTATGAGTCAGAATTGACTCAATGGCAGTGAGTGTGGCTTTTTTTTTGGTGTGTCTTATGGCCATACCTGGGTCTTGGAGGTTGGTGGTACTGACAGGTTTCTTTAACTCAAAGCCCAACAAGTACAGTGCAAGGTTGGGTGGGTTGCGCTCCAGAGACGTGATGAGAAGATTCAAGATGTGGATTCTTGTTTCGTGACGGATTAGAAGTACTTTCTTTTCAAATTCTGACCCTTAATTTGGAAATCATGAAACAAAATTATAAAATAATAAAAATTTAATATAAAACTTTCATTCCAAGTTTCATGTGCTTTTTCAGATTTGTTTATAGAGGTTTTCCAAAAGCAATGTATGTTTATTCTAGAACATTCCAAATTTTTCTTACATCACCACTAGGTAATTAAGAGTAGAATTTTCTTCTCTTACAGTCAGTATCTATACCAAGTAAAACACATGCAGGTTCATCTGAGGCATACCCTCCTCTAGACGTACAAATTCTTCTGCATCTTCATTATCCAAACACTCCACAAACCCAGCCATCAGCTTCTGACTTACACTCTGAAGTCACAGAAACAGAAAAAGAAATTAGGAAAGCTTTCTAAATGCAAGAGAAACTACAATAAATGTGACATACACTTATCTGTAAAAAGAAAAGGTGAATCTGCCCCAAACAAAGGATTCAGGTTCTAGTTTTTACTTTTAATTTATAGAAAAATCAGTCCCTTAAACTGCCGTAAGTTCTCTACAGAAATAACTGAAGAAATAGAAATGTCAAAACTTTACTGGTTTTACAACTTCCTTCTCTAACTCTCCTTCCCAAAGACTCAAACTATTTTAAAATAACATTAAATTTGTTTCATGACCTCTTTATCATCTACTCAGTGCCATGAGCTCCTAACTGAAACATGAGATAAAATTCTCATCTTCTTCAGAAATGTGTCACTTGTCACCAGTTTTACATTTCCAGACTGAGAGACCAGCTACCTTCATACCCTTTAGAAGTCTAGCAGGATGTTAAAACTGGTAAAAATAATTTACACAAAAATGGATGTCAGCAAACTGAAAAGCATCCATTTCAATAACCAAGGATTATGGCTGTCACCTGGTTTCTTTGGCAATTTCATGATGCTCATGCGAAAGCCACACGTCAGACATACACGTGTTATTATAAAAAGCGGCTCTCAACCTGGGAAGCTGAACTCCAGAGGGCAGTGGAACTATGTAGGGGCATTGGGACCGGAGGTTACTACTGATGGATCGTAAGCAGGGGTCCAGGGCTGCTGAGAGTCCTAAAATGTAAGGGACAGACACACAAAACGAAGAAGTGCCCCCACACCTCAACAGTCCCAGTTTAAGAACACTGTGAAGGAGTAAACACTAAAATCCCTCTACTAGTTAAAGCAGTGAATCCAACATAAAGACATCAAAACACCAAACCCACTGCCACCCATCGAGTTGATTCTGACTCACAGCAACCCTACAGGATGGGGTAGAGCTGCCCTACAGGGTTTCCAAAGTGTACTCTTTACAGAAGCTGGCTGCCTAGTGGGTTCAAACCCTTGAACTTTCTGTCAGCAGCCAAGCTGCTGACACTGTGCCACCAGGGCTCAATATAAAGACACACTGGGATAAGGGTCTATAATGAGAGAAAAACTAACAGATTCCCCAATTGTAGCTACTTGGTGAACAGAACGATAACTATTATCAACTGAGTAAGAACACTTAAGAACATTCTACAAGACAGCAAACAAACAGACAAAGGGGTGTCACAAGAAGCCCACAGATGCAGACAACTCACAACAGTGAAACACGCTGAGGACTGCAGGGTCCCTCAGAACAAGAGCCATCAACGGAGGGGAAACAAAGATAGCAAAACACAAGCAGAAGTGACAGCCACAAACCTACTCACTGCAGTGTGCTGAGAGCAGCAGCCCCGTCCGACTCAACAAGCACATACCCTCAGCACCGCAGCCGGCATTATCCTCCAATGCAGGCCACAGTCCAGGACAGAAATTCACTCTTACTACTGGAGAATTTTTCCACCAAGAATACGACGCCTCCACAGACACTGTGGCTTCGTCCATGCTCAGAATGTACCAAAAATGACAGCGACAACTAAATCAGTTACCTGGTCATGTGTGAAATCTCCAACCAACTTTATCTGAATGTTGGAGTTGCAAGAGATACAGCACAGGATCTTGGCACTTTCAAACGCCAACTCAGGACTCGTGTTGCCATGGCAGAGGCACCTTTAAAACGAGAAAACATCTGACGAACAATGCGCTAAGAAGGCCTGGCTTCTGACCACTCTCCACCAGGGACAGTGAGAAGCAGGCTTCCCTGGCTCCAAGAGCACTTCTGGCTAAACGAGGAAACGGTTCCCTGTAGGGGATGGAGCCAGAGCCCAGCAGCGCTGCCTGCATGTCAGCCCCATCAGCCGGCAATCCTTGAGTTAAGGGCACCAGGCAAACCACCTACCAGACTAAACAAGAAACAGAGCTACGTGAACTGGCTGACAGCTTAACCTTCCCTGTAAGGTGATATATAGATAAGTATTCTGATAATTTTAATACATTAACTATGTTCATTACAGAAAGCATGGTAGATGGAACAGCATTAAGAAGAATTAAAGTCAAGCACACAATCAAGGCAAAGCCACTTCCAACTCATTTGCATGCTCTATTTGTTTGTTTTATGACTATCTTATCATATTATTAAAAATTATTTAAAAATAAAAACTGCAGTGGCTATACAGTATTTCATAATTTACTTAACCTTTTTCTACTGAACCATTACAGTGATTCTGATTGTTTTTATAATTAAATATAAACTCCAAGTTCTTCCTATTATAAACAGAAGTGCAATGAATTCTTTGTACATTATACCCACTGTGGTCGAGTTGATTCTGACCCACAGCAACCCTATCGGACAGAGTAGAACTGCTCCACAGGGTTTCTAAGGCTGTAATCTTTCTCCTACAGAGGAGCCGGCAGGTTCAAACTGCCAGCCTTCCTGTCAGCAGCTGAGCACTTAACTCCTGCACCTGGGCTCCTTTGTACATTACAAATCTCTAATTATTTAAACAAGATTATGGTCAAATTATAAGCCAAATCTGTTATCAAACAACTTGGGGAAATTTTAACTTTCCTACTAAAAACAATACATTCCTTCTCAATCTGCCGATGCATAACTGAAGTGGAAATGTGACAACTAAACGGTCTAAGTCATCATCTGAGTCTCCTTTTGTAACGAAAACATTACGGAGCTTCTGGTTTGCTCATCCATTGAACAGCCCCCTTGTCACGTTAGACCTGGATCGCTAATACGCTCACACGTACAAATTCAACAGTATCAAGGAACATCTACATACGCCGTGAAAAGCTCACCCCCACCCTATCTCCAAACAGCCAACTGCCCTGCGGGAGACAATTTTGGTCACATTGGTCTTAGACATTTTGAGGACATCAAATAAACAAGAAGAAAAAGAAATGGTAAGGTTCACAGTTATTCAAACCAGAGGGGTTGGAGAAGAGAAGACAAGAGTGAGCAGTCCCCATCCCCACAAGAAATAGGTGATACATCAGGGAGTGGACCAGATGTAGAAATCAAAGCTAGAATGCGCAGCTGACCGTGTCCTCAGGGAGTGGACAGCTGTGGAAATCAAAGCTGGAATGGCCAGCTGACCGTGTGCTCAGGTGCAGCTTACCTGGCAATGTTCACCACGTTATCTGCCTTCTTAGTTCTGGGATTGATCCCCTGTAAAAGCTGTTCTAAGGGAGACACTATCAGAGCCAGCTGACTCTCTCGAAGAAGGTCCATAAAGAGGTTGTCCTTCTGCAGAGCAAGATTAAGAAGTGCCAGGCAATGCTCAACGGCTTTCTCCAAGTGCTTCTTCCCTACAAACCAAAAAGGGAATTAGCAAGTCCTGTACATCTTGGAAATGCACAGTCAGCTCTCAGGGAAACAAGACAAAGGCTGAGCTCTGGTTCAAAAGGCTCTCTGTGCTTCCATCTTTGGGCAGCGACTTCACACAGGTCACTCTTTGACCCAGATTACTGTTATGAAATGGCTTCTCAAGCCGACTCGCCATGATTTCTTCCCTGACTAATTAATGTACTGGTTCTCAAGCAGGGCTGATTCTGAACCTCGGGGACATCTGGCTAAATCTGGAGACACCTTGTTGTCACAACAGGAAGTGCTCCTGGCACCTATGGAGTAGAGGCCTATGATGCACAGCACAGCACTCCCTACAAAGGGTTATTCAGCCCAAAATGCCATTGGTGCCAAGGGCGAGAAGCCTTGATTTAGAGTAATACACACTCATTGTGGAAAACTTGGGAAGAACAGAAAATAGAAACAAGGCTCACCCATAATCCCACCATTCAAATTTAAACTTTCAGCCCATTTCTTCCCTGTTTCATCTCTGGATATTCTAATTGCACAGTTACAATTCATGAGCATGATGTGTCTTTTCTCATTTAGACCACGGCCACCTTAAGAAGATGAATATAAGCCCAGCCTCCACAGCCCTGAGACCAGAACTAGATGGTGCCCAGCTATCACTGCTGACCACTACGAAAAGGATCACAATAGGAGGTCCTAGACAGAATGGGAGAAAAATGTGGAGCAAAATTCAAAATCACACAAAGGACCAGGCTTACTAGCCTGACAGAGACTGGTGGGACCTCTGGGGCCATGGCCCTTTGACACCCTTCATACCTAGAACTTCACATATTCCATTGGCTCAACTTTCAGCCAACCAACAGGCAGGCCTATAAGGCGAACAATAACACCAGGGACGTTTGCACTCAGAATAATCAATCATCTGAGATCAAAAGGGCAGCACTAGCCCAGGGACAAAGCTCAAAAGGCGGGAAGAACAGGAAAGAAGGACAAAGGGAAATGGGAGACACAGGGAAGTGGGAAGAGCACTGTTATACTGCGGGCATTGCAATTAACATCACAAAACACAATACTCATGAACTGTTGAATGGAAAACCACTTCACTCTGTAAACTTTCACCCAAATCTCAACAAAGGAAGAAAAATGCAGAGGCAATATAGCACAGGGGTAAAAAGCCTGGACTCTGTAGTGAAGCCGTGGGTTCAAATCCCAGCTCTGATACTTCCTGGGGAAAGATGTGTAACCATTTTTTGCAACAGCTGCCTTACCTGTGAAGTGAAAATAATGAGACCTACCACACAGGGCCTTTGTGCAGACTGACTGCTTGTGAGAGTCAGATGCATACTAAGCACTCAATAAATGTTAGTTAACTAGCTGTAATACTCAATAAAATTCATTATGCACTCACTATATATCACGTACTACAGTGAGAGCTTTTACAAGTACTACAGGGAAAACAAAAAGTGATTTCAATTTAAAGTGATAGATAATTATAATTACCTACACAGGGCCCTGCAGTGAGACACAGCTCCAGGGAGAATCTCTGTACATTAGACCGTTTTCTCTGACAGTTTCACTGAACCCACCACTGTAGGTACACATAAGGGATCTCATCGTGGGAGAGAACTTCAGGGACCATCCATTTCCAACCCTCCGTTTACAAACCCTCAGCTCTCACAACTGTTACACGTACCAGGGAAAGGGGCGTAGGTATCAAGCTGCTTCACCCCCTCTTCCAGTAAGCTAAGCATGAGCTCCAACATCGGTGATTCATTCAGAAGATGATACATCAGACTGAACCCAGGCGGCTTATAGGCTATGATTTCTTCTCCTAAACAGAACACAACACATCCAAGGGATGGAGAATTCAGACTTTTGTCACACTCTTGATTTATAAGAAACGTAGGCAATTTCTACGTGGCTTCCATTCAGACACAAACTGTCTACAGTACCAATTCCCACTGGGCAATCTGCACGCATTCACCTGTACAGTGACACTTGGAATCTGTAAGGCAGTGTGTGTGGTCTTCTTTGAGTGATTGAAAAAATTCAGACAATGTAACAAAACAGATTAAATTCTAAATCCATACTTTATATAAATAACTGACCCCTTGTTTGAAAATGAGAGAATTGGATTACCTTGCAGTTCCACAAACTGGTCGACAAAGTCTTCAAGCTGAGGCTCGTAGTCTCTGAGCAGTTTATAAAACACCTCCAAAACCACCTCAGCAACTTCCCACTGCGAGAGACACGAGCTGTCAATAACCACAAGGCTGGACCTGCCAGGGTCTGCATGCCTCCTGCTTTTCCCCCCCCCCCCCCCCCCCCCCCCCCCCGCGCCAAGAAAACAAGGGAAGGCCCTCATCTACTTTAGTAATTTATGCTAAATGATTAAAAAAAAATCTAATTTATTTTTGTTAAAGGATAATGAATTAGCTATTTTTCCAAAGCACAGCATTTTAAAAAGCATTACTCTTAAACATTTCTAAAGCAGATATTTGGCCTTCATTAACAAATCTAAAACATTTAGTATCTAGTTATATTTAATTTATAATTCAACATCACCAGGCTTGGGCAGTTCTCCAAAGTGTTAACTATTTCACATTTTCTCTAAGAAAAGGATGCAATCCTTTTCTAACTAACTTCCCTCATTCATTTACCCTGTTGTTGTTGTT